GTGGAATTTAAACTTCGGTGTCATGAGCTTTGCATTTATATAAAATCCACAATCTGAAATTCACATAGAAATTCACATAAAATTTTCATGAACATTGTGCTTCAGCAGAAAGGACTCTGGGTTTTTTTGAAATAAAAGTACAAAGTGGATCCAGTCACAGGGAGCTCACAGTCTTAACATGAATTTTAATCCCCTTTTACAAGTTTGGGGTGGAGATATAGGGGCTGACCATGAGGACTTTTAAAAGCAGCCTGTGGGACATGTCCCAGCCCTCAGCTGGAGTCCTTTTCCCAGGCCTGGGAAGTGTCTAAAACGTTATTGTGGAGCCATTGGTGATCCCTCTAACCAGAGAACAGAGTTGCTTCATTTCTACCCCAAAAGACCACACAGCACCTATACAAACATTTTAAAATGGTAATTATACAATAATTTAAAAACCATTTCAAAGGCAGCTGTCTAAGCTAAGTTTTTTCTTACCCTCCTTCTACTGAGTGGGGTCAGTGAGGAGATGCAAATCCACTTGCACAGGGTGATTCTCCACCAGTGCCACCTTAAAATGGGATTATTCCTGTCTGGAAAGTCTCTCTGTCTGAGCTACAGAGGAGAATTTGCTTTGCTGAGCAGGGCAAATGGGTGAGGAAAAGAAAATTAGATACCTGAAGATCAACTAATTCAGATTTGATATATAGTTGCATGATTTCATGTTTCCTCAAAAGTCAGCAGCACAGAATAGGGTCTCCCAAAGGATCACCCATCCCTCAAAGGAGAGGAGTGAATACCTGGAATAACTGAATAAGTAGAAGTACTTCTCTGCCCATCCTATAAGAAGGACAGAAACCTTTACCCAGGACCAGCTGCCAAATTCTGCACCACTTTCTGATATCTGGAGTGAATCCCACAGCATTCCCCAAATTCCAGCTGCAGGTTGCAGGGCAGACATGGGAAGGCAAGGCAGGATTTGTGCTTTCTGCAAACATCCCTGGGTTGTCCCAGGGGAGGTTTAGATTGGATATTGGGGTAAATTTCTTAACTGGAAAGGTGGTCAGGCATTGGAAGAGGCTGAACAGGGGAGTGGTGGAATCACCACCCCTAAAAGTGTTCAATAAACACGTGGATGTGGCACTTGGGGACAGGGTTTAGTGGTGGGCTTGGCCGTGCTTGTTTGATGTTCTGAGAGTGCTTTTCCAACCTTCATGAGTCTGTAAATCTGTGACTCATTATTTTGATTCCAAGACAATCTATTAGCAAGACTGTGGGAGGTCAAGGCTTCCCTCTGGCTGCCCTGGAAGGTCTGGGACCCTGGCAGGGGTCAGGAACCCCCCTGGACAGAGCCCCCAGAGACACTGTCTGTGATCTCTGTCCATGGAAAAGAATTTTCAATCTTACAGAGTGAATTACAAGCTCTGAGTGTTTGATATGAGTAATAATTAAGTGTGGCACGGGTACAAAAGTAAAACTTTAAGATTCTAGATTAGGGGTCCAAGGGGGACAAGATGGAGGAAATTGGGTGTGTCTTGTCCTTTTTCTCCTTCTTCATGCCCTCCATGTTTCACTGTGGTGTTGGCATTTTTCTGTTGGTTTAGGCTGGGGACACACTGTCCAACGTAGGTGACAGATATTGGCACGTTATTGTAAATTCAGCACAGGTAGTTTGTGGTATTTAATGTTTGTAACATCCCACTGAGGGCAGAGCCCCACACGCTGCCCTGCAGGACAGAGCTGCGGCAGGGCAGCAGAACATGTTAGAGATAAACAGAATAAACAACCTTGAAACCAGCACAGACGAATTATGGCTTCTTCTTTGGCAGCGGGGCTGACAGACAGAGACTTTCTACAATCTTGGAATCATCAATACCACAGATTCTTACACAAGACCACTATCTGTAATTTTCTTTTTTTCATTCCTTCTCATGTGAAATCTTATTCTTTAACACTATTCCTTGTTATTACTGATTTCCTAAGATGGTAAAAACTAGGAAAATTTGTCCAGCTTTAATTGGAGTTTGTGAGCCAGCTCTTTCCAAGGTTTCTTGGGCATCCCTACGTCACTGGGCAGTGGGGAGACCCCATCAGTGCCAGAGGAGACCCTGCTGGGCAGTTTCACACTCAAGTCACTTTGATTTCCGTGGGCAGATTTCACCCAGCAGGAATTGTTGGCTGCAGCAAGGTTTACAAATGTAGGGAGATTGTTCACACTGCCCTTTATTCTATTTAATTTTTATTTATTTTTTTGTTGTCATCCTTTTCTTTGCTCCTCTAAATTGTTTGTTTCAAATACGCTTTTCCAAGCAGGATCAGACAATGTTCTTATTGGTGGGGAATCCTTTACAATCTCCATCTCTCCCCTATTTTAAGGTAAATTACTTGACTTGCTGCTTCTCTCTCCCCTCTCTCACAGTGTCAGCACATCAGTGTTTTCTGACACAATGAACTTGTAATTTCTTTTTAAATGTGACTGGTTTTTATCTCTGCATGGAATTACCACAAAATCAGCCACCTGCTATAACTGAATTTCATCCACACTGCCATGTGATATTTACACTGGATATTCCTGTTCTGCAGCCTGAGGATATCCTTGCATTTCTCTGGTTTGCATTAGCCTCTGCTGGATAATATTGGAAGACATCTACGTTGAAATAATAATAAGAAATAAGGAATATTCCTCTTCAACACAGTTAACTCAAGCAAGAACAACAGGTGTTTCTCCAAAGATGTCATTAACCACAGATTATCTCCAGCATCCCTTGTAAGCAAATGTCTCATTAACGTGGATGTTCACACATAATTTACTTCTGTACATAGTGCCACACTTCAGTGAGCTATAAACCTGTTGTTGCACATCCTCAGATTTACATGGAAAATGCATTTCCTGCTGCATGGACAGACACAAGCGATCAAAGACAATAAAATCTAACAGCACTCAACGTGGTCGTGATTACCATCCTTAGTACATAAACAGTATCACAAAATTTTAAAATCAGAATATCCTGAGCTGGAAGGAGCCCACAAGGATCATTGAGTCCAACTTCTGGCCCTGCACCCCAATGTCTCCACCTTGTGTTGAGAGAGTACAAACCTTTCAAACCCCAGGTTTTGAGACTTTTAGAAATATTCTAGTTAATTACAGCATTCATGGGATGACATCCTCATCTGACAAAGGAAACAATCTGGGATAGGAATGGGAAAAGAAAGGTAGAGGAGCAAATGTAGAGGATTCCTTTTATTTATTTATTTATTTTCCCAGCTCCTATGATGATTTACTGATCATTTTTGATTCAATTTTGTATTTTGGTGGGTCTTGTCATTATGATGTTGAACATCACAGTGATGTTGTCTGACACTGACCTAATTCTTTAAACACCAACTCACTCAGATCTGCTCTACTCACCACACGTGGTACTCTCAGCCTTATATTTTTATGAGAAAAATAAAACATAGGACTGGAAAAAAACATAAGACTGGATTTGCTACCACTGAAGCTGATGGAAAAAAAAAAATAAAAAGACACCAAATCCAGTCCTGAGAACATCCCTTCTCCACTGATGGGGAGCTGCTGAAATACCAGAGCTGGTGGAGCCCACACAGCTTTTACAAGTCCATCACCCACATCTCGTTATATTGGACTCGTGCCAGGCAGAAAGTTACACTTGGAAGTATTATCTGCTTTTCCTGAAGGTTTTATTTCCCTTGGCATGCAGTCAAAGGGAGAGAAATTTGACAGAAAACCTCGTAGAAAATCATGGAGCTGGAGGTTTTGTTTCAGTTGATAGGATGATTTGCTCAATCGCAACATCAAATGCAAATAAACAGTGGAAATAATTAGGTTTGGATCTTCCTTCTTGTCCTGCTGAAGCAAAAGATGATTTTTATTTGAGAATCACTCACTAAGCAATTTTTTTTTTTTTAATATTAGTAGGAAATTTGAGAGATTGCTCTGAGTTTTTGCGTACACGGGATAAGCCTTTTAGGTTTGTAAGCTGGAAAAATGGTGAATTACAGGAAGAATTTGCAGAATTACAGGAAGATTTATTCTTCTTGAAAGCCAGTTTTTCACACCTCTGGCACGCAGAACAGAAAGAAGCAGGAGATGAGTTCCTTTACTGTATTTACAATAAATTTAAAATTATTTTTTCTTATATGTCAAGGGAAGACAGCTCCCACCCATAGTCCCATCACCTCTTCCTCCTGCGTTCATGTAGCAGAAAGATTTTTTACCACTCAGACCTTGATTTCAAAGTTTTTTACCTGAAGCCTCATCTTTGAACTGTTATTAAAGACCTGAATCTATTTTGAGCTTATGCAAGAAATATTAGAGGTCAAAAAAATCCTCTTTTGACATTGTGAGTTTATATTCTCTAGATTATAAACTGCAGTAAAAGTAATGAGTGATGTTAGGACAGTTCTTTGGTAAGGAAGGATTTTTCCTTAGAAAGTAAGTGGGACAGAAAAGTGAATTTGTCTCACATATCCACTGAAGTGGCTGCAGGATGAAGCAGAAACTGCTTTTCAGTTTTCAGACAAATTCCAAAATGAGTGAGCTCCCAAACCTTCCCAAGGATTAAAGCCAACAGAAATCAATAGAATTTAATAAATTATATGATCCATATAGGTTGGGGGTTTTTTTTTGGTTTTTTTTTGTTTTTTTTTTTTTTTTAATTAACCCAGAACTTCTGAAAGAGAACTAAATGGAAGTAGGTTTCATACTCAAGGGAAAATTTGTTTCTGGCATGTTGGAGTGATTTAATTGGGAATAAGGAATGGCATCTTCTAGGACAGTAAAGTCTGGCCATTACTGTGTGATGCCACTAAGGATTTTATGCTATTCCTATAAATGAATTTTTTTTTTTTTTTTTTCCCAGGGAAATTGATACTGTTTATTGTTCCAAACAAAACTATTTTTATTTATAGAAGGAAGAAGCAACCACAAAGCTCAGTAACAGTGTGAGGAAAGGGATGGATTTCCACCACTAACATATTTTATCCCTCCTGCTTTTCCACAGGTTGCCCAGGAATGTGGGACAATATCACATGTTGGAAACCTGCAAGTGTGGGAGAAATTGTCTTTGTCAAGTGTCCTGCACTCTTCAGATTTATCATCTCTGAGGATGGTAAAGTATTTTCTCTTTCTTCTTCACCTCTGCCTGGTAAAACCTCGTGACCAGCACGAGTGTAAAACCTCACTTAGATCCTCAGGATAAAGAGACATCAAAATCTCTCAGCTGGGCTCCAGCTATAAATAAATCACACAAAACCAGCATATTTGTGTGTAGATACGTGAGTGTGCACAGGGTGAGAGGGAAGGTGTGAAAAAAAAGCCTCCACAGACAACACAACATGAATATATCACAAATTTGAGTTGCTAAAGGGAATATTCTGCCCTTGGGTCTCACTGAATTCAGTGGGGGGACCCAAATCTGTATTTGGGTCTTGGGGAAAACAGTTGGAATCTATTTTAGCAAATATTTAAAATGTTTAAAATATGTTAAAATATTTAAAATGGTAAAAGAGCAGGTTCTGCTTGTGCTGGAGGAGAACATAGGCTTGAGATGAGCAGTGAGGAGCTCCATGTTGGGGGTTCAGGGGGGAATTAAAGATTTCTGGAGGGAGGCAGAAGTTCCATCACGCTTTTTTTTGTGGTCTGTGGAAATGAGATAAAAACATCCTTCTGTCCCTGTGCTGGTAATTAACACAGATTTCTCCTTTTGCTCCCAGCACCCACTGCAGATCCCTTAATTAGCACTGTCCTTTGAGGGACAAGTTCATCACCGTGGATCCTTTTCCCCAAAGTTTATTTTACCAATTAATTATTCATATACAGCCTTGAGTCCAAAATCGGGGGTTTTTTGCATTGCCACACACACAGAGCACCATTTTTAGGAGACATTGTTTCATACACAGCTCCAGGAATCCTGAAATCCTCACTTTTAACAAAATCCCCACTTTTAACACAGCCATTCCAGCATGTGCAGGAACAGGCATCACCAATGTCACCTAATCTATGTCCCACTTTAGAATTTCAGTTTGACCTGTTCCAAGTCTTAAGTAAGTGGCTACCTGTTATTGGAAAGACTACTTTTAAATATAAATATATTTGAAATTTAAATTAAATAATTAAATTAAATAATTAAATTGTTATTATATTATTTTATACTTACTTAAAAAATTATATATTTAAATGAAATCAGGATTTTTTATTGTATTTATTATACTCATGGTTTCTATTTATTAAAATAAAGATTTTATTGATTTACATAAAAGTGTTTAAACAGAAAAAATAAAAATTTTGTGCATTAAAATATAATTTCTTTCAATAAAAATGAGAGAGCCTTTAGAAGAACAAATAAATACATATATATAATATATAATATATAATATATAATATATAATATATAATATATAATATATAATAATATATAATATAAAATATAAAATATATAATATGTAATATATAATATAAAATATATAATATATAACATATAATACAAATGTATAATATAAATATATATTATATATATAATGTATTATATATTATATATTATATATTATATATTATATATTATATATTATATATTATATATTATATATTATATATTTTATAAGTTTATAAGTTTATAAGTTTATAAGTTTATAAGTTTATATATATAAGCTCTATTTATTTATTTATTGCTCTATTTATTTTACCTATGTAAAATAAAGGGCTGAAATAACATTTTTAAATATTTTTCCCAGGATTTACTGATCTGCTCACACACTGTGCTTCCCATTTGGCCTGTGGCAGGGTGACAGTACGACCCTAAAGGAAGAATATTCCATCCAGTGGAAACATATGTCCCATTCCTTTATCTCCTCATGGGATCCCCAATAAAAGTGACAGCTGTTACCTCGTGTAGGGCTGGGTTTGAGGGGTTTTTGGACATCTGTTCACCAGGAACACACCCAAGATTCATCATTCCTTAGATAAATAAATAAACATTTAACCTGGAGTAGCTTGAAATCTCAGCAGATGTGGCTGGGATGGCACTGCTGACCCCAAGGTTGAATTATCAACATCCCAAAGCACTCTCCTGGCTGAATCAGCATCAGCTTTGCCATCATTGCTGCTAATTTTAATTAGCCAAGTGTATTTGTTCAATGAGGGTTTCATGAAAAAAGTCACATTTCATGATGGTTCCCTAAATAACGGGTCATTACAGAACTATAATGTTTCTAAGACATGGATAATCACATTTTAGGGATTGTTATAGTGTCCTCTGGCTGCTGCTCTCTTTCTAGAATATGGAGCTAGGCTGGGCATGGACACTAATATTTATTAATAGCAAAATCATTCCTAGTAAAGGAACATTTTTATATGACCACAGATAATTTTTACAAATGCAGCAATTACTTTAAATTATACTTTTAAAAATTTGTGCTCTGAAGCACTTAGAGGTACAACATAATCACAGGGCAATCACGGGGTGTGCTAATCTTAATGAGTGGGTGGGAGATATCTCACCTGGCTGTGGATATTTAAATTTATATGTGAATTTATGAAGCGAGCACGTGGATTTCTGGTTCAGTAAATAGAAATTAATGGGCACTTGTAGAAGATGCCTTCTCTGACCCCTCTCAAATGCTTGTCTGGAGGTGAGCAAAGTCACTACTTCTTTTGTGAATTTCAGTAAGGAATCTGACTGCCTTTACTTGGATGTCTGATTTCCATATAAAGCAAAAAAAAATAAAAGAGACTACAAAAGAAAAATTAACGAACTAAACTGTCATCTGGACGGATGCTTTTTGGAAAAATTAGCTGTGTATTTAGCTAAAAATACCAGCTGTTCCTGGTTTTAATCTGCTCTGCTTTAACCTTCAATGCAATTAAAGCAAAGAGTAATTTCTGAGCTGCTGTCAACATCATGCAGAAAGTTCAAAGTGAAATTCTGTGTGCTTGGCAACCCTGCCTTCTAAGATTTCATTTCACCTCTCTGATCCTCCAGAATCGGAAAGAATTTTTCATTCCTTTCAGATGCAGGCAGTGAACAAAAGTATCATCCTCAAAATCTCTCCACTGGAGATTCCTTTCCTCCAATGGAAAAAAGCTTATTAATTCCTAAGTCTTTTCTCATCTTGTAAAGTAGAGATTACAGTGCCTTTCCTTCTGGATAGTTCCCAAAAATTAACTTTTTCTCTCTTCCACATGGATTTCTTTGATTGATATCCATCAATCATTATTTCCAGCAGGAGCTGTCACTTCCATGACCTCTCTGTTGCATGTCACTATTTCTCCAGTGCCTTCCCAGCACTGGCTCCAGAAACACCCACTCCACAACAAGATGTGTTTAAAGCATTCTAAGGCATCTTTGCAGAGGTAAAAAGAAGAAAACCATCCAAGCTGTGATGTTACCTTTCAGTAGGACACAGCAAGACCTAGAGATGGCCCTAACACAGTGATCTGCACTCCCAGCTGGAGAATTTTCTCTCTTTTTTTTTTTTTTTTTTTTCCCCTTATTGTTTTTCCAGATACAAATGATACTGGCTGGCAATGGAAATCTACAGAAGCAAAATCTCTTTTCTTCTGCTTTGTGATGTTCAGCTGAAACATTCTGGAATGTATAAACACATCCAAATGGACCAGGGAATGAAACTCGATAACCAGATCACAAATTAAGATATTTTCAGTCCTTTGGTTTGCAGTAAAGAATAATACAAATGATAATCGACAGCTTCTGAGCATTTCTATATGCTCCACATTTGGAAAACTCTTTCATTCACAAATGCAAATAATAAATATGAGCAGCTCTTACTGAATCTTCCAGCAATTTAGGTAGGTTATCTAGTGCTGAGTTTAGGACACGCCCTGCTACATTTACCACAAAACATGGTTCACTATGTACAACAGAGAAAATTCTCCTAATTTTTACCAAAGGCATAAAATATATCCTATGCTGACAGCAGGACTGAGGGTTCCTTATTAAAATCCAGAAGAATAAAGAATGTAGTCAGGTATTGAAGAGCTTAATAGGAAATTACATCCTATGCTCACATTTCAGAACCAAACTCTGCCTTGTTTCTTCTCTTGGTTGAACTCAGTCAGTGCTCAGACAATGAGCTCTGTTATCCCAAGAAATTGGAAATAATTTGTCACTGATCCCATTAAAAACACAGGGAAACACTCAAGTGTTGTGCTAATTAATTGATTAATTGATTCTGTAAGAACCCCAAGCCTTATAAGTGCTGCAGTAGAGATGCTGAGGGTGGACAGTGAATTTATGAACAGGGGGTTAATTGGATTTGGGAAGCAGTCTGTGCCTGAGTTTGGATGTTATCCCTGATCAATTAGAATTGGATGAAAAGAAGAGTTAATGAGAAGGGAAGTGATGCTCTATCTTTTGTTTCCTTTCTGGGGAAACAGTCCTGGTAAAGCCTTTGAAAACTGACATGGGAAAATGGTACAAAACCCCCAAACTGGGTAAAAAGCCAATAAAAGTCATTGACTTCCCAAACTGAAAATTGTTGGAAATAGTTGCAAGTTACAGTTTATATTAGTTTGGGTTAAGTATTGATAGTTTTTTGTTTAGATAGGAACAAAGAGTGACTGATAAAATTCAGGGGCCTCCTAAAAACGTGAATATCCCTGCAAGATTTTGTGCTTATTTTCTACTGAGGTAAAAGATGCAGGGATTTGTTGCTACTGCTGAAATTAAGGTCAGCACTACAGCAGAGGGAAATTGGAAATTGCATTAGCCTGTCAAAAAGGCAAAAGATCAATGCAAAGGTCCAGATTTCTCTTCAAGGATGTTTTGCCTGGATAAGTATTCCAACATCCTGCTTGGAAAGTGAGGGAAGGAAAGCCTTGTAACCAAGTTTTTGCTGGAAAACATGTATGACCCATCCCATCATTCTCATCATGGCAATAATAATGAGTAATTGGATGGTACTTTATTTATTTATTTATTTATTTATTTATTTATTTATTTATTTATTTATTGAAGCAACCAGGACTCTGAAACTTTTGTTTCATCCTTAATTTTATATATAAGATCCTACATAGCAGTCATAATCAAGTTCAGTGCAAAGTTTATTCTATATATAAACTATTAAAAAATATTGAAAAGAGAAATATATATAT